GATGTCAGATCCTGCGAAAGGTTGCTTTCTAAAGGCAGAGACAGATATTTCCCTCAGTGACCTGGGAAATGATCCTGCTCTCTGCCCTCAAATAAGGATGTGGGCTGCTGATCCTGACTCTGATTCAAGAGCTGACAATTTGCAAAACTCTCCTTAAATAGACAGTCCTAGATTGTTAAGAGTAAATTTTTTTAGCATACAGATATAAACTCTACATAACAAATAAATGTAGCTTCATGGTAGAGCACTTGCCAAGCATGCATAAGACCCTAGGTTCAATCCTCAGTGCTATAAAATAAGAAAAGAGGGAAGTAACTAGATAGTAGTAAGGTAAGGCTTTCATTTGGGTCCAGCACCAGCCAAATTAGTGTAGACCATGCTCTAACTGGTCTCTATTCTGATATTTTATACACTTGGGTGATTAAAACAGAGGCCTCCAATCAAAACACCTGCTGTCTCCGCCCACAATTTCAAAAATCTTTTGAATCACTGTAGCATCAAAAGCGGGACTGGATTCAAAGCAGCTGATGGCAGAACGGGGACTGGAACAAAGACCCTCACTAAGTAGCCAGGTTTTGGAAGAGATCTGGAAAGGGAGGAAGGACAGAAGGATAAGCTGAGGATGATACTGCAGAGGCAGAAGGGCCTCCAATTTGGGGCTGCGTAGGTCGCTGTGGGATGTGGGCTGACGTCAATGGGACTTTTCCTTTACCTCCTGCAGCCAGAAAGCAAGGTGGAGAAAGGCTTTATGCCTACTGACCGGGTCCTTCCTAGGGAAATGGCTAAAGAATCAGCAGTAAGAAAACAAAGAGGTACTGAAAAGAGTTTTAAATTTCAAATGGGATATATAAAATTTTCTCAACAACATTAAGAGAAGTTCACTTTCCAACAGCTTTACGTGATGAAGTAAGCAAGGGGAAGACTGCTCCCAAATGAGAATGTTCTAAAATGTCCATGCTAAATATTGCTCTTGTCATACAAATCTGTCTTTCTCTAACCTGTGCTAAATGGACTAAGATCTCAGCAAAACACTGAGAGAAAAGTGAGGGGTTTCTTTTTTTAAAATGTATGTTAGACTGGGGAAGGTTGATCAACTCAGGCCTGCATCACTTCTTTTCTTTTCTTCTCCCTCTTCCTCTCTCCTTTCTTTTTTCTTCTCTTTATCTTTTCTGTCTTTTATCCTTGGCACAAATTCCTTACTCCATATATTTGCTTTGATCGAAACTCTCTCAGTTTTCAACAGTATCTGTGCAGATTTAGCACCGCACTTGGAAACAAGCTTATGTATAAGACACAAGCCATATTCAGATACCAGGGAAGTTTGTGTAAGCATGAGAAGGACAAGTGCAGTTGGTCATAACAAACTTTGTTGATGAAAATATTAGTGAGAATATCAAAAGAAGACATACTGGTGAGAATGTCAGAAGAAAAACAATAACCAAAACGATTCCATCATCCACACAACACAAAAACACCCATGATTTGACAGACATAGGTAAGAATTTGTGGAAATCGACACCATTCAAGTCAGTTTACACGAGCACTGGCTGGAATCTGGTTACCTTTATGAAAACGATCAAGAGAAACAGAAGGGAGCAGAAGGGAGCATGGAATTCAGTTGTGAACTAAGCAGGGAAACTAAAGAGGAAACAGAATGGTTTCACCCGAGAGCCGTGCTTAATGTGTCAGCACAGTCAGAGCACAGCTTACCGGCATGGGGAGACTTGGCTACCGACACAGCTTCCACTTGTAATTCTCTACTAGTTGTGCTGAAGTTGCCTCTCTCCTCCTTCCCCCATATCTGATTTACAGGCTTATAAGTCCATCTTTAAAATGTCTCCAAAAATCAGTGCTCTTTGGCAGCACATACATTAAAATGTCTCCAAAATCGGGACATTTCTCCCCATTCCCGGGACGCGGCCGCTGGGGAAGTCCAGGTCCCCATGGCCTCTCACCTGTACTGGTGCGGCCACTCCCAGTGTCTGCCAAGTCCCAAATGAGAGCGGACGTGAGACAGCAGATCCCATAAAAGAAGCCTGATAAAAACATACTGAAATTTAGGTGAAGATAACAGGGACAAGCTGTGTTCTTTCTGTTATGTATTTTTTCCCATCTCTGTAAACTTTTAAAGTTACAAATTTTTTTCAAGTACTTACTCTTCTAATTACAAAATCTACTGCTGCCTGATGAAATAGTCCATTACAATACATCTGACAGATTTTTGTATCATTACCCAGATTTGGTTTATGCCCCACACTCGGTAACACTGAATAGGCTGGCATGTTTTAAGTAGTTTATGACAATAAAGGGATAGTAGAATTTGCCTTAAATTGATCCTTAACAACAAATACTGGAGAAATAGAAAAATGAAAGAATCAGAACCCTTTTGTGAGTAAAACCGGACGTTACACTGAAGCACTACTAGGTCTGCGCTTCATTTACCCGAAAATGTACAAGCATCTTCCTGTACCCTGTAAAACAACGGGGTCAGAGGGCCAAGCGGGGAGGAATTTTATTTTATACTTTTCACTGCTATCATTCGGCAACTGCCCACTACTCTGAAATACCAAGGCTTAACTGAGAACACAGACAAACTATAGTTCTTAATACAAGGAGCACATCCCCTCGATTTATCGTTTACAACAGAGAAATAACAGGCTGAACAGGAATTTGTTTCTGTTTGAAGAAGAAAGAACATTTAATGTAATAGAGGTAGTCACAGTGCTCTCAGATGTTATGAATCCTCTTCCTCGTTCCCAAACGTTCTGGTGGAAGAATGCACACGTGGAGTCTAACTAAAGATGAACAGACATGGAACAGCTACCAAAAACACATTTCAGAAGTCCAGTGGTCATAGCACTTCCCCCTAGAGAACTCCAAAGCAATTTACAAACACTAATTCTTTTTCTTTAAAAGGAAAAGCTGTCATAGGTAATGCTGTAAATTGTATATTTTCCCTATTTACAAAGCATACTAAGCATAAAGCAGATCTGAGGGGGACAGTAGTTTCTAAATTACTTCGAAGTCAAATATTTTCATCATGTATGAAACTCATCAGTAACCTAACCCTGACTGAACCACTCATCAGAATTTAGAACAAGTCCTGATTAAATACCTGGATCTCGGTCATCACAACTTGCATATAATCAGCAGTAACCACAGAGCTTTACAATGTTAAGGTGGGAGTGCCTGATTCCAAGAAAGGCTGCAGGATGGACACCGCTAGCACCATTCAAGTTTGAAGGTAGAAATTCAACAAATATTAGAGTATGGGCTGAAAAGGCATTTCTATTCCAGTACTCACTGCTCATGACCTGCATCTCATCTATGTGGGCATGGAACTGAACCTCTCTGGACCTGGGGTTCTTATCCTTGAACAGGAAAAATACTACTGCGTGGCCTCATTCACGTGAGATTGAAGCACTAGCAATAGTAGAAGTAAAAGAAATAGTAGTAGTGTAATTTTTCAGTTTTGAGTGTTATGAACTGAAAACAACATGGTGAGATGTGGTCCCATTTTTTATAGGTGAGAAGGCAGAAGCTGAGAGATAAAAACTTGCACACTGCTGCACAGCTTTTGTTAGTACACTCTAAGTGTGAACTCCAACCACCCTGACTCTAGAAGACATGATCTTGTTCACACTCCAAAATGTACTCGCACGGCCCATCTAACGAGGTAATGCTGCGGACTGCCTCTTGTACACTGTATGACAAAGTGCCACAGCAATGTAATGCGCTATTGCTGTAATTTTTATAAACATTGTGAAAATATATTTTCTGCTGAACACATACTATTGTTAGCAAGAACACATCAACTCAAGATCCTAAGGAAAAGGCATGAATGAATATGCAACTTGTGACCTGAAACAACTGGAAAATAACTATAAAACAGATATGACGGTGACATCATTTTGTACATCTGGACATTCACATACATCTACAGAGTCCCAACTCACAAATTTCAAATCTCTCTCGACACCAGTGGAAATGGTTGGAATCATTACAAAGAGCTGGGAGATTTGTGGTGTATGGGTCAGGGCTGCAGAAGTCAGTATTAATGACTTGGCAGGGTGCTCCTAAGAGGTTATCAGAGACAGGAGCAGCGTGTTAGGCTATAAACAGCCTGTAGCCACGTCTCCCAGGGATAATGCGTAGCAAGTTAGCAAAGTTGAGCATCTATACGATGCTTCAGCTGCCTCTGCAGGAGCCAAAAACACTTACAGTGAACTGAAAAAGCTAATGAAGTCATAGCAACTGTCTCTCCACTGTCAAAATTTTTCTAAGCTTTTAAGACAGAGGAAATATTTCACTTACCAAGGACAGGTGAACGGAGTTACAGTTTAGTTCACATGTATTTATTTGGTTGCAATTATTATTTTCTCAGACATAAACTCAGTCCTGAGTGAAATGGAAAAGGAAAAATAGAACTCTCTCTATACTTCTCTTCTACTTTTATATTTTCCCTGACTCACTCTGGCGAGGGCTGTTGTACTGCCTCCCTTACCCCTTTTAGACAGTAGAACGACCACTAAAAGCTAGAGACACCTTCTCTCACCCTTTACAATGTCGCTGTTCTTTGTTTGTTCTAGGAAAGATCAAATAAGACCCCAAGGCCACCACATGCAGGTGCCTAGACTGGTCAACCATACAAGCTTAGATGTCACTTTTCACACTTCAAGAAATGATCTCCCCATACCTGGTTAAACGCAGTACACAGTCTGTCAACCAGAGTCATCAGCCTTGTGTACACAAATCCAAAACCAGCATGAATGTAAAAGCGTTTTTCTCGTTCATCTATTCATTTACTCACTCCACTCAGTAAATACGCACTGTCTAATGTGCACTGGACACTGTGCGTCCTAGGTAAGCACCTGTAAATAATAACGTGCAACCCTACCCTCAAGGAACTTGCATGTCCATGTCAATAAGTAACAAGCAGAGTAAAGCACCATAGGCCTGGGAAGTACAGAGAAGGGAGTGAAGACGCAAGCCGGCCTTACCACATTCGGGATGACCTTGTGTCGGAAGCAGGTGATGTTCACCACGTAAGGCCAATCATCAGGCTCCATCAGCACCCCAGCAGCATGGGCACACGTGACATGGAAGGAAGCAGGGCAACGGCCGTAGGAGCACTGGATGCAGGCTCCAGAGACCTTCTTAACGCGATGTCTGCAGAACATGCATTTCTGGAGGGTTGAAACAGAGAACATCAGTTCATACTCCGTAACTCAGCCAATTTCCACACTTCAAAGAATAGCTGTTAGAGAGGACAAAACTGATTACATCAACAAGCCCTGACCCTCTAGGGGCCTGAGCAGCGAGAGCACATGTGGCAATATAGTCTGCTCACTTTAAAGGAAACACACTTCTACAGTCACACACCACCAGACATGTGCTTATAATAGTTCTGGTGCTTAGGAAAGCCAAATTCTTTTGCATGCAGTCCTCCCAGTAGAGAGTTCAGAAAAAGGCCCAAGGGTGCTTCTGTGAATCGCCTGTGAATACCAAAGCTACTTCTGCTTCACCTCCACATGGCAGGCTTTTCTATATACACCAGCAGACAATGAGGGTTTAGAAGACAGACACAGATATTCCTGCATTAGATGAGTTCTTTGACAATAGGCAAATGACAGGCAGAATTTTTCATTTACGAGGAAATGGAAAGTGTTAAATGGTCCAATATGGAAACTAGGGGCTCAAGTGTTTAATAATCTGAATCTGAACACTTTATGACTGACAGAAAAATGTGCCTCCCAAAGTGAGAAAATGGAAAATCACCCCAAAGGGCGTAATTGTCTTCACCATTTATAGCTGACAATGCCTGGGGAAGAGAAAATAAAAACAGCAATAATGATTACCACAATCAGAAAATTAAATTGCACACAATTAGTCCTAAACATGATCAGTACATTTGTTACGATAGGAAAAATCAAACAACTTCACTAAACATAAAATCTGTGTACTAATACTTGAGAATTAGGGGAAAACAGTTGTAAAGTAGCACAGGGTCAGGCTTGGAGAGCAGAGAAAACAGAATGATCAAAAACGCTCAACTTTTCATTCCTACTGATAAAAAATGTCTACAACTTCATCAGATGTTGCTGCTACTGCTCTTCTTTTATAAGTACATTTCTTCCTGAGACAAAAAAGGTACTTAAAGTCAATGCCTACTGGAGGCTGTAATATTTTACCACAGACCTGCAAGAATCAACGTGTACTAACTGCTAACTCCTCTTTGCCCTCACATCTGATCACCAACTCCGTCTTCCAGACTCTCTTCCTCAGTCTTGCTGTGATCTTTCTCTCCTCATCCGTAACAACTACCACGGCCTCCGTCCATAGAGTCTTGCCAGCACAGAAACAGCCTCTAACTGCTCTCTCAACCTTTTATTTCCTTCCATTGCACTTTGTCTTCACGGGGCTGCCAGAGCCATCTCTGTATCATCGCATAAGTCCCATTTCACCCCTTCTGCTTAACACCCTCCAATGGCATCTCCTTATTGCTAAGTAATTCCAGGATGGAAAGGCAGTGGCAGTGGGTGGGTGGGCAGGTATGTGGGTGTGTGTGCACACGCACACACAAAAAAGAACCGCACGAGATGGAAGAGCAAATCTAATAAAATGTCCTTCCTGGGCACATTAGAGCAACCTTATTTCTCACTAGTTCCTGCAAGAGCCTTACCTTCTACACACTTACCTCATTTCTCCAGATTCAATGTATAATGAAGCATTTGTAAGTGGAAGTTGAAGATGTGGCTTACTGATTTAAAAATTACACATGCATGCACACACACGCTGAGAGAGAAAACCAGAGAACTAAAGCAGGATGGACGTAATTTCCATAAAAACATTACTTAATATCTCATCTTGGTATTACTAGAACTCTTGCTGTTTCAATTCATCCATGATAATTTTTGATATTTTTGTCAATTCTAATCATTTGAATTATGATGGCAGATATAACAGACAAAACTCCAATCAGAAGCCCAAGGCATAATTGGACAACATTTTAACAGTATAATTATACAACAAAGAAGTCAACTGTGTAAGTTCAGGTATTGACAGATGTGTTTTGCTACTTAAACAGAATCTTTTAAGAGTAGGAGAGGGTATAGTGACTTAGCTAAGAAAAGAACTGAAATCTCAAAAAACAAAGGCCCCTCATTTATTTAAAAAAAAAAAAAACAAGAGAGAGAGACAAAGACCTGTGAAGCCAGTGAAGAACCTGGAGTCAAAGAACAGACATGCCTCGTCCCAGGACAACTGGAAGTGTAAATCTCTAAGAAGAGGATCACAACATCTTAAGTAAGCCAACCTAACTAGGCACTATTGCAATTCAACACACTGGAACATGTTTATCTTCCAATAGAGAGAACTTTGCTTTAAGCATCACATAGGTTCTTGCAGAGATGAGAAATCCTACACCTAATCAAGGAAGCCATGAGGAACATATCCTGTAATACATTCCATTTTCATCTGCTTGCTGTTAAACCAGTTTTTCTCCACACTGGCTGAAACATCTGTGGAAATGTGACAACACAGGACTGTGCAACTGTACCTAATTCAGTGGGTTAAAGACATGTAAACCAAACGAGGCACTCTTAAGAATGTTACAATGGAGCAGGTGCTATGAAGGAAGTACGGGCACCAATGCTATGTGCAACCAGAATGACCAGTGCCATGATATGTTCTTAGGGCAACAAACGGAGGAAGGTTTGGAAGCAAAGCAAAGACTAAGTGGATGCAGATGGTATACTCAGTCTCTGCTGCCTCCCAAACCTTAGATAAATGTATAGAGAAAGAGTAAGACCGTAACAGCACTAACAAACACGAAAGAGAATCACCAGCTGGTTAATAGGTGTAGAGGTATAGCTGGTAGGAATACTTTTAATGCTCTATAGCACAGTAAGATAACTATGGTTGACAATTAATTATCTCAAAATTGCTAAAAGGAAGGATTTCAAATGTTCCTATCACAAAGAAATATGTCTGAGGTAATAGTTAAGCCAGTTAATTGGTTTGACATTATTCCCTTTATACATGTATTAAAATGTCAAACTGTACCCCATAAATATGTACAATTACTATGTGTCAATTTAAAATAAAATGTATTTAAAATACAAGAAGAAAAAGAGCCATCAAAGGACCAGAAAAAAATGTGTAATTCCTAGGCCACGGGAAACAGAACCAGATTAACAGAGAAAGTGGAAAAGCACTAATCCGAAATAAGAAGAGCCAAAAGCTACAAAGGAGTAGGAAGAGCTGTCACTCGAAAGCCTCAATCCTACTCCAAGGCACACATCTACAACTAAAAAAAGAGGAAAGCCTGGATCAATAGGTGGTAATTACTTCATGGTAAAACAGGGCCACTCACAACGCTTCTACATGGCGTTTCTAAAGATTCTTACACATTCTGAGTTCATAAGCATTGCTGTAGAAGCCAAGTTAGTGAAGGTTCTCTCTCTCCCTGAGAGGTCAGTAGGAAAAAAAAAAACAGAGTTAACCCTCAACCTCCTCAAGGTACAAGGAATTTTGAAATACGTATGTAAAAAATAACAAGTAAAATTAAAAATGAGTGTTTGACTAGGGAGTGAATGAGAAGGGAAAGGGCACTTTCCCTATGTGATGCACCCCAGAAAGCTGATAATTCAACAAAATAAATTTTTTAAAAACGTATTAATAGGTATCTCTTAGAGGGCAGTTCTGGCAAGGCCAGTGCCAAGAATGAAAGCAAATACAGAAAAGCCAAGCCATCCACTGGTGGGCCAGTCCCACAGCCAACTCTGTCTCCAAGCACCATCTCCAGGTGGGGACCTGATCCTATCTGAAGCCAAATCCTGTGATAGGAAAGGGCATTTCCAACAAGAAAAGCAAATTCCCACTTGGCCTAAGGAAAGCAAAAGGATACCGAAGTATTCAACTAAAATAAAAATAAACACTTTAAAACTCAGAAACATTTCAGAAAAGCCAAGGTCATGAAAGGCAGAACTGGTATGATGAATAAACAGAAGAATAACACTTAATAAGTCAGGTAAGTACAAACCAGATGAGTTAAAAATAGATATAGTACATAGGATAGATTCCAAAATAAAAAACAATCAAAATAATCCAGCACCATAAATGTAGAGGTATTACTGGAGAACCAAGATGTGGTAAACAACCCTAAGTAGATAACACTTAAAAAATCCAAATTTGCAACCCGGAAGTGAAACCTAGAGCTTGTACAGTACACAGAAGATCAAAACAAAGGAAGATGGAACACAAATGCTAAGCAAGATAGCAAAGAGATCAGGTACACTGCATCTCAGAGGAATACAAGAAGGAAAATCGTAGAAATCCTTCAAACCTGAAGCCCCAGTGAGATTAATACAGTATTTTAAAAATATTTAAGCACATCCTAGACACCTGTTAGAACTCAAAATAAAAAGAAAATCCTAAAACCTGCTAGAAATGAAAAGTAAAAAATCATTACTATCAGATCTTTAATCTGCCTTAAGTTTGTACTAAAAAATAAGGAAATAATGTCTTCCAGCTTCTGAAAGAAAACTGTATCTGGTTTATATCCGGCCTAATTATCATCCCAGAGTACAGCTAACATACAGACTTCCTCTTTCCTGTTTTGAGTATAAGGACCAGAAATGTACATGAAGTGAGGAGCAACACAAATGCTGAATATCTAGATAAATATAGATGAATACTGATTTTATAAATAACAATAGTAATGTCTTCAGGATTTTAAATAGAATTTAAATAGATAGCACCTGTGACACTAAGGCAAAAGTGAAAAGTGAACTTTAAAATGTTTTGATGTTCTTGAATTGTCTAAGAAAAGGATAAATGTGCCAATTAATGGTGCCAAAAAAATAATTTATCCAAACAGGTAAGAAAGGAAGGAAACAAACAGGAGAGAGTCAAAGAAAAAGCACATCATAAACTGGCAGAGCTAAACCCCAACATATATTTATGTCAAATGTAACTAGACAAAACTTTAACAAACTCTATGGCCTAAGGGACAAAGTGTCCAATTATACATATTTAAGGCTTGGGGCCAGATGCCCAGCTGCAATTACTCAGCTGTGCCACTGAAATGCAAAAGCAGCCATGGGTAATACACAGGCATGACTGGATCCCAACACTGTATTCCAACTGCATTTAAAACACGGGGTATGACTTAGTAGGGGCCGGC